TTCATTGGGAAGCTTACTTTTGGTGAACAGCTAAACCTACCTCATGGGCAATACATAAATACAAAATTAACGGTTTGCAAGTTCAACATGGTCAAAGCATGTTTTGCTTTCCCTATGCATAGGGATGATGAAACAAAGCGAATGGCCTTCTGATGGGGAGAGGTGCTGTTTCTTTATATAAATTAATACAAACCACTACCTAGTTACAAGACCCATTGTTGTAGTTGTCCCTTGAAAAGAGGTGGCATGGGGAGAAGATGCCAGATTTGGCTCCAGGATGGCCATCTGCTGGAAATTTGTGGCTAAATGTCAATACCATTATTTCAGGACCAAGTGAAATCATATATACTTGCCTGAAAGATACATATCTGCAGAGCCAGATGGAAAATAGGTGGGAAGACTGTATTTTTAAGTAGGAGGCTAGGGATATAGTGGATCTGAGTCACATGGGCTGAGGCACGGTTTGTCCCTGATCTAGCAAAACCTACTAAGCAGGTGAGTAGCTCAACCCAATTTGAGAGCATTTTGTGTCCTAAAGATGTCTGCTAAGTTTTGTGAAAATCAGAGAGGAGGACTGTTGACAAAAACTCTGGAACTTATGCTCGTGTTAGAGAATTCAGGGAGGGGTGCCGCCTCAAGAGACAAACTCCTCAGAAACTAGGCATCTCTGCTTCTGCTCTTTTTCAAGTTACTTGGTATTACTGTCATCAGAAAGGCTTCAGTGGTGGAAAACAGGACAAATTTTCTTGCTATGCTGACAGAGGTTCAAGTACAGTCAGTTGTTCAGGACCATATATCTTCTGGACATGCTGAGACAACATTTGGGCTTCCTTTCCAGCGGTGCTGGTTGCACGGACTGCCCCCAAATGTGGAGAGGGGTAGGTGTGTGCTGGGTGCAGGGTTCCTGGCTGGGAGCAGTGCACGGTTCCCAAGGGAGAGGAGAGATGCTGAGGATGTTATTGCTCTGTCCCCAGCTGCTGACTTTCTCTTTGTTTTCTCTCTGCCTTCTTCCCCCTCTTCACTTGAAATTATAACTCCAAATGGCTTAGACGTGGGCTATTTACTGTGATTATTTCCCTTTTTTTACTCTTCCTCAATTTACTCTGCCTGTCTCTGTAAAGAGGAAAAGAGATGCAGTTTCTGTTTGGAAGCTGGATGGAGAGATGGTACCATTTGCTCTCTGAGTGGAAGGGTATTATCTGGCCCACTGCACATCGAGGACATAAAGGAGCAGAGGGCTGTAAGGTGTGTGTGTGTGTATGTGTAGCATATGGATTCAACCTGTCTCTGCCAGCATCTATTGCACTGACCTAAACAATATGAGGCTTTTGAATGTTAATCAAGTTGGCTGCTGGTTCTGTCCCAGTTAGATCAAGAGCCATTGCAGCCAATTGAGGGGAGCTTGAAGGGAAGGAGTGGGGCGAAGGAGGGAGAAGGGGGTGCCTCTGTGAAAGGCAGGGGGAGATTGCCTTTCTGTAACTTAACAAAAGACAAGCAAACCTGTGTGCAGATGAAGGAGGGGTGGCTGGGGGAAGGTTACGAGTTGTCTTGTTATGGAGAAGCTTGAACTGTCATCTGTACTTGATGGAAACTAGAGAGATTGCAGAAGCGCTGCCTCCCTGATTGGATTAATAGAAAGGGAAGATGACTCTAGAATGGCTGCCCATTATCTGCACTACAAAGGGATTAGTGTGGGTTTCAGAGAAATTAATGGCTTTTGAGTTAGCACAGAAATACTAATGAATGTCAGGGCGAGAGATGTACGGTGAACAAAATTGGTTCTCTATTAGTGTGTGCATGTGTGTGTGTATCTATCCATTTGGGCCATCAAAGTGTGCTTTTTCTCTACCATTCTGAGTTACAGATTAGGCTTTCAGTTTCCATATTTAGCTGAAATACTCTTGACTACTTTATTGGTGTGCAAGGTGTATTTATACTGACCTTTTTAGACCTAGTGCCAAAGCAGCAATTTTTTAAATTGTTGTTATGGTTTTAGTTGTATCTGCAGGGAATATTTGTAGGTGGAATGCTTTGAGCATGGTGTTAAAAGCAGGCTCCGTTCTGAGTATGTGGGTGAGTTAGTGGGGAAGCTGGGGCTGAGCTGGCAAGGTGAAACCTAAGTACATCCTTTTTATTCGTGTGGATGGGAGGTAGCATCCTTTCCCTGTTTTTTTACCCCCATGAGGTTTGTATACTTAAATTAAGTATATCAAACAATTAATTTTCATGTATGTCCATTATCTGAAACTTGCCTACTTAGTCCTCATAAATCCTTAAAGCTGGTCTTTGCTGAAGAGGTAGGAAAAGCTTTTACACTGTTCATAGAATTCATAGAGTTTTAGGGGTTGGAATGGACCTTACAGCTCATCTAGTCCCAACCTCCTGCCATGGGCAGGGACACCTCTTCACCAGAGCAGGTTGCTCAAGGTCTCATCCAGCCTGGCCTTGAATACTGCCAGGGTTGGGACATCCACTACCTCTCTGGGCAACCTGTTCCAGTGTCTCACCACCCTCTCACTGTAAAAAACTTTTTCCTAATATCTAGCCTAAACTTCCCCTCCTTGAGTTTGAACCCATTACCCCTTGTCCTGTCACTGCAGTTCCTAACAAAGAGCCCTCTCCTGCTCCCTTGTAGGCCACTTCAGATACTGAAAAGTGGCTCTGAGGTCTCCATGCAGTCTTCTCTTCTCCAGGCTGCTGCAATTATGAATCCTCCTCATGCTCATACATTAAACTCACAAGCAAATACAGCAATGCTTTTAGCCAAGGGCAAGAGCATCTCCTTAGAATGTAGGTTACAGCCCAAGTTCTGCTTTCTCATCAGTTGATATCAGAAGCCCTTGAACAGTAACTAAGTCCCTCAAATACTTACGGTCCCTGACTCTCCTCATGCCTGGAGAGGATATGACAGAGTCACCTATTAGCCAGCAGTGGTGAGAGCAGCTTGTCCAGCAATCTTGGCCATATTAGCTGGGATGCCCAGTACAGATGGGGATACAGTAGTTTCTATACAGGCTTGGTTTTGGCTCTTTGTTTCCAAGCTTCGTCAATTGTAGATGCTTCTGTTCTCTTAGCTTGAAGATGTCTTAGGTATCCTCAGAGGTTATCACGTCTAAAGCATGGCCTGTTAACATGAGTCGTAACTGGACAAGCTGAGATGCTGAAAATGTTTTCTGCCTCCAGCTGTCTGCCCTATCCCTCTTTCAAAGGCTGTCAGCCCCAGGGCAGAAACCAGGAGTGAAACAGCTCCTGTTTGGTATGGTTTGTAATGCTGTGTGTTAAAGTCAATTGATGCTGATTTTGTTGTGGCCTAATTATGCTGGGCAGTGAATGAGGAGCTGTTCCCAGGTGGCTACCTTACTCCTGCATCAGGAATAACAGTCTCCAGGGAGATGGACAACCAGAGGCAGAAACTTCTGCTTGTGTCTGCTAATTCTACCCCCATTTGTAAGTCAAGACCCATCGCAGGTATCCTTACTGAAAAGGTGAAGTAGAAGTCAAATGGGAGCAAGAATTTGTTCCTCAGGCCTGGATTGGTTTTGGGTGCCAGGTATTATAGTTGGTATTACAGTGTAACAGTGAATGTCACTGAATTTATACAGGGACCATCAAAAATTGCATAGATCTGCATGTCCAGCCCAAGATGAAAATACAATGTTTGCCTGTATCTGTGGTGGCTGAAGTGAAGCAGCTCATTGGAACAAATTTTGCACAGAAAATTCAGAAATTATTTAGATAATTCCTTTTGAATTTGTAGCACTTTAGTGTATGGTTGTGTACGGTTGGTTTTCTGGGGATGAAGAAACTTCCTCTCGACTTTGCCTTGGGCCAAGGTTTGTGAAAGGGTTTGCTCCAAAGCACCTTAAATGCTGAGACTCTCAGGTCTGGGCAGCCTCTTTTCATTTTTTGTCATGTCTGCTGCTCCTGAGCTAGATTCTTATAAATCAACAAAGTTCCTCTGTAGTAAACCGAGCTGTGCAAAATGTTCTGGTCCTGGGTCGTGCTGAAATGTGGTAAGATACTGCTGTGTTGGGCACAGTTCTCCATTCCCCATGACCTGAGTCAGTCCAGGTGCCAGGTGCTGTGCTCAGGTGCTCGCAGTAGGGCTGTTCTGGCTGGTTCCAGCAGCCCTGTTGCCACAGATGGGGCCTCTCTGGCAGAGTGCATCTCAGAAAGGGCAAAGCACTGCATAGTGGTGTGAGGAGCAGCTGAGGGTCAGAGGAGGAGAAGGTGCTGCAGCCACTGGGATTCCCCTGCAGCCCCTGGGAAGGCCGTGGTAGAGAAGGATCTCCCAGCAGTCCCATGCAGGAGCCTATGCTGGAGAAGGTGGAAATCTCCTGAAGGAGCTATGGCCATGGAGAGTTCAGGCAGGAGCAGGTCTAAGCTGAAGGAGTGCAGCCTCTGAAAAGGACCCATGCTGGAACAGGGAAAGGTGTGAGGAAGAAGGAGCTGCAGAGAGGAACTGACCAGATAGTGCCATTCTCCTTCCCCCTGTGTCACTTGGGACAGGAGGGAGGCAGAGGGGTTGTATGTGAAAACATGAAGTTGAGCCTGGGAAGGAGTGGGACAGGAGGGGAAGGTGATGTTTTAATTTGTATGTATTTCTCACTGTCAAAATCTGTTTCAGATGGCAATAGATTGATAGTATTGTCCACTTCTGGACTAGGTTCTGGGACCCTTACGGTGTTTTGTTGCTCTGTCTATTCTCCTGGATAATCTCAGGAAAATTTCTTTGTTTCTCCATCCCTCTATTTCTCTATTCCTTTTTTGTAAAGTGTTTTGGTACCTGAGCATAAAGTGCTGTATTTTCATTGACTTAAATATAGAGTTAGTGTTTGTGTTTGATAATTATAACCTATGAGATGAAGGCTATCCCTCTGATCCTATCCTCAGGTATGCCATGTGTGGGTAGGAGAGCTGTATAAGTCAGAATGATGTAGAAATTTGAAACAATCATTTAAAAATAATTAATGGTAGCATTCTTATTTTGTTTCCTCCAGAACACAAGCCAGTGTTCCCAAATATTCTGAAGAAGGGATACTTAGAAGTTAAAAGAGACGACAGCTACTGGCAAACCTGCTACACTGAGCTCTCCCCATACAAACTGTACCTGTATTGCTTGGACAGCAGTGGCAGCCAGACTCTTCCCACTGTGTATCCACTCATGCGTTTTCAAAGGGTCACTGTTACTGGTGGCATTGAAACCAAGGTTGTGGACACTGTCCTGACAGATAGCTCACACCTGCAGCTGAAGGCAGAGTCCTCATGGGAGACTTTGGACTGGGGAAAGAAACTCTGGGAAGCAGTGCATGTTTCTGTGCCTGCTTTCACAAGACAACAGGAGAAACTGGAGAATGTGCCAAAGCCTGAAAACAACAGTGAGCTTCCTCAAACCAATGGATTATTAGAGAAGCCTATGGAGCTGTTCCTATCCGTGAATTTGACTGAAAACACTAAAGAGTACCAAAATACTCTCAAATCAGGGACTCTTTATAGGTTAACTGTCCAGAATAACTGGAAGGCATTTACTTTTGTCTTGAACAAGTCTTACCTCATGGCATTCCAACCGGGTAGGCTTGATGAAGATCCTCTGCTGAGCTACAATGTCGATGTGTGCCTATCGGTGCAGACAGATACTCAGGATGACTGTGACTCTTGCTTTCAGGTCATTTTTCCCCAAGATGTCCTGCGCCTGCGTGCAGAGACCCGTCAGAGGGCCCAGGAGTGGATGGAGGCACTGAAAGCAGCAGCCAATGCTACTAGAAGTTTAACTCAGAACCCACAGGTCACGCTTAGGAACAAACCCGGAGACCGACCCTTTGGAAATGATCTTAGAAAGAGCAAGCGCCAGTCTGTGACCACCAGCTTCCTGAGCATCCTGACCACACTTTCACTAGAGAGAGGGCTCACAGTTCAAAGCTTCAAGTGTGCAGGTAAGCAACCAGGCTGCAGCATCTGCACCTACTTTCCTTCTGCAGGAAATTTAAATCTTTTGAAAGAGGATGTACATGTTTTAGCAGGACACAGCTGTTCCCTGCCTCTCACTATGGCTGTAGTTAGTCTTTCTTTGCACTCTGTAAAATGTGGAGAAAAGCCTGTGGGGTATTCAGGGGTTCTTCTGCTTTTGATGAGCAGCGCTGAAACATTAGATTCTGCACATACAGCACTACATGGGCCGCAACCACCCTGCTGCCTTGCCGTGTGGCTGAGTTGTTTTCTTGATTCAGGGCACAGTAAAGGTCATCCAGAATCTAAGAGGTTTAAAATAATTTGTTGTCTGACTCTAGTCCTGATCATGCTTGTATGCAGTTTGGATATTAAGTGAAAATAGGTAGGACCTGTGCGAATGCAATTCATGGTTATTTTACTTTCACAAGGGCACCTGTGTGGAGTGAATTTTGGCACCTTGTGCTTAACTATAGTCTCTGACTCGCTTTAGTTACACTCACTTAGAAATTGTCAGCTGCATCAGAAACAACTCTTTTAGGAGGGTTTTCCTCTTGTGTTATGGGAACTGTGAGGGTCCTGCCTCTTCCCCACTCTGCTCTGGGATGGGGTTCTCCTGTTGCTCTGGAATCACACATGACTCTGGGGCGTCTGTGTGGGCCTAGGACCTAGTGGCTGGCCTGAATTCTTTCTAGGAGAGACCTGAACCCCAGAAGGACTGGACTGCCCTCAGAACTGACTGTGGGTGCACCTGGGTTTGGCCCTCTCTGGTAGTCACCTGCAGGTCATGTTCCTGCTCATCTCTCCACAGTGCATGGCACCCACCTGGCAGCTGGAACATCATGAAGGTTGACTTCATTGCAGTTAATGATTTGGTCATAGTATTTGGGCTTCTGCCTGAATTCAGATCTGTTCTTGCCCACATTTGCATGACTTCATGTCAGGATTTTTTTCTGGGAGTTTTTATGTGCCAAATGGCTGTGAAAACTGCAAGATGCCTGGGACCTATGATAGCTTAGATTAGCTGAACGCTATTGGTCAATGGTCATGTGTTACCTTTAATAAGGGTAGTTGTGAGAGTGAAAACTGCAGGGAAACTCTGGGAATGGCTCAAATAAGTATCCCCAAGATAGCTCCAGCCCAGTGTGTTATCCAAGAGACAGCCTTCTGAGACTCAAGAAGTCAGCAGAATTAACAGCCTCATTTTAAGATAATGGCCCAGGTGACATTAAAGCTATTTCTTTCTCTTGATTGGTTTTAATTCAAAGCTCAGTAGAGGACAATTTCTTACATTTTACTTCATTCTCTGACTGAGTTCCAGGAGAGTTTCAAGTGAACATTTTAAATGACCTCCTCTAAAATAGGATCAGGGCCTGTGGTGGCAACAAAATACATGTCTCCAATGTGAAATAGGTTTTAGTCTTGCATTATATAGTATAGGAGCAGACTTTTCTGTGGGAAAGGATGAATTCCCTCTCCCAAACATGTGACGATTAATCTGTACTCACTCATGTATTGCCCACAAAAAGAAAGTGCTCTGACCATGTCAGGATTGCATGATGTCTTTTCCTGATACACGTGAGGCATTCCTAGTGCTCCTGTGGTCTCTTTTTAGTTTGCCAAACTGAACAGATGCTCTTGTTGCAGCAAAATGTGAGTTGTGGAGAGCCCGTGAGAAGCGGATCGCTGGGATTCTCTGCCCCCGAGGACGAGAATGCACAGCACTTAGTGTAGGAGCAGATCCTTTGCCGTTTCCCGAGACCCTTAGAGCTGGTCTGTGAGAGTCGGCTGGAACTTGGAGCTGTTACCGTGGTGCAAAGAAATGAACCGTTTTAATTGTAAATGTAAGAAACTGGAGAAACTTGTCTGGCTCAGAAAAGTTTGTGCTGAGGAGACATTGGAGGCACACGGGCAAGCGGAGCCGCTCCCCTCGTTGCTGCTCCCTGCGGGCAGTTTGCGCCGTTCCCGCATGGGCTGCTCTTCAGCCTAGGGGGCCTGCTGGTGGTAATTACAGCTTGCAGGCATTGAGAGCGGCTTTCCCCAGGGCTGCTGGGAGGGGTAAGCTTGGAAAAAGATGAGGAGGGGGGAGGAAGAAAAGTTTTGCTGTGAATTCTTCAGCCATTTAGTGCAAATTCCTGTAATTACCGTCTTTGTGTCCTGTCCCAATGGCACATAATACAGCAGAAGCCTTTCCTAATTGAGACCTTACAGGAGGTACAAATCCCTCCTTTGTTCAGCCTGACAAATTAGTGCCAGAAAGTGGCAAGGTCCGAGTGGGAATCAAAGGCAAGCAACACAAAGATGGAACTTAAGGCTACAGTAATAACCCTCTCTAGTCCTGCAGGGGTGGGAGAGAAGGAAAAGTAATGACCAACGAAAAATGAAGGGTTTTTTTTGTTATAAATTCCCTTGACATGACAGCACCTAAGGGCTGCTTTATTTATTTAGGAAAAGTGATTAAATAGTAATACAACAGGGCAGACCATTGTCTCTCGAGCTACCCCCCTTCCTACAGACCCCTGCTGCCTTGGCTAATTGATTGACAATGAACCTCTGATAAAGAAGGTTGCTGGGAGGACCTGATGGGGACAGGGTTTTTTGGAATTTATTTTCTCTTTGCAGTCTTTATGGGGCTCCCCTCCCGGATTTTTTTTTTCCTGTTTGAAATGCCCTCTGCATCCCCCTTCCCTTTTCTCCCTCAGGAGAATTCCTTTTCAAGGAATTGCTCCCAGACAAACAGCTGACATTCACAAGCAGGTAGGGAAGAATGTGAATGTCTGTGCCTTGCTATTGACAAGTTTATCTTGGAGTTTGACTAGCACTTTTCAACTTGTGATATAAGCCAGGGCAGTGGTGTCAGATATAGGCATGGGGCAGGGGGGACAAACTGTTGATACACAGGAGTCAGAAGGGCAGCTTGAAAAGTTTTCTCTTGCTTGATCAGCAGATACAAAAGCTTTTCCTAACATTTCTCACTTTTTGTCTTACTGCGGAGGACAGGGCATTATTTCTCTTAATTTCAAGAAATAAACACATAGGTCACCGATTAACAGGGAGAGGCAGGGCTTTTATAAACACTTTTACCTTTGCAGCCATTATTTATAATTTTGGCTTGGAATAGCACTACATTTTGGAATGTGGGGTTAACTAGAAACGGCTGGCACTGGAATGACACTCATCTCTGTCCTTTGCATGTTCGTATAACTGAAGGCTTGATCTTGCCCTGTTGCTGGGGTAGAACAGTATTCCCATGGGAAGTGTCTGGGGCTCTGAGCAAGAGTGGCAGTTGAGAGCACTGATCTGCTCAGGTGAGACTTTGGAGGGACCTACCCCTCATTTTCAAATGAATGTGAAGTGAAAGTTGATTTCAAGTCCAAGCTGGTAAATACCAAGTTTTATGATTTGTTCTTTATTGTGTAGGAAATGAGAGGCATGCATGGTGTTAGGGTAATCTGTTGAGGGGGGTGTTATTTTTTTTAAAAAATTTATTTCATCTGGATTCAAGAGAAATCCCCAAACTGTTTATGTTACAAATTTGGGATTAGGAAACTTCCATGAAAGTTTATCTTTGGCAAGTGCAGCATCTCGCTGACAGCAGTAGCTGGTTGTGAGTACTCCAGTGGCTGTCCTGTCTCCCTGCTGGGCCATCTATGGGCTTCTGGGAAAAGGTAGGCGTTTCTCCTGGAGGTCTGTAAGGAGCAAATATTGTCAGGTTCCCATTATTATTGCTATTCTTTTGGCATGTGCCTTCATTTTCCTATAGATGAGGAAGACAAATGGCCTCTGCCCTTGCCTCCTGTTTTTGCATAGCTCCTGGATTTTTTTATGATGTCTCTCTTCTGTTTCACCTTTTATGTTCTTTTCTCCTTGTCCTTTATTAAAACAAACATTTTTTTTCCCCAGAGAAGTCAGTTGTGTCTGGAAGGAATTCTTGTTACTTAGACAGCAAATCCTAATGGATATGTGAATTTCTGCCTTCTGCAAAGTACACTCAGCACCCTTTCATATGTCTGTGAGGCTTTCCTTGCTGCTCTTCTGGGGTGCCTCCTGTCTTTTGCTCCCTGCTTTCTCCACGTCTCCTCACTTGCCAAAAGGATAAATACTGCTATTAGAGCTCCACTGACTTGGCTGGCTGAACTGAGCACTAGGTGCAGAGAAGCCAAGGTTAGTAAATGGGCTATTTTCTGAGCTTGCAGCTCTGTCAAATGGAGTAGCAGGTGGAAAGCTGTCATCTTTCAAGGAGTTATTCTGCATCTAGTGCTGTGATCATGTGTGTGGTTGAGGGACAGCCCAGTGCAACATGCCCAGCTCATGCAGCCTCTGCTCTATAGCTCACCCCATTGGTCTGAAATCAGTCCCTATTGCAATAAAAGTAAAATTCCTTTATTTTTTTTCTCTTCAATGAAAAGAAAGTATTTTCCTAATAGCTTGCAAGCCAGTAAGTATGATTTTAAAAATAAAATAGCCAAAGTAGGCAGGTGTGATGTTGACTTTGTTCAACTTGCAAAAAGCCATATAGTTGAAACTTCTCAAATACAGATAGTTGAGAAGCGTCCTTGAATTTAGCAAGTACTTTGTGAACTGTCAGCATACCCAGCACTATTTGTAGCATGTCACTGAAATAAAAATACTAGGAGACAAATCTTAGAAAATGTAGCACAACAGTAAAATACCATAAGGTCCTTTGGAAAGTTTGTTGGTACTCTTGTCACATTTTCAGTCCCAAATAACAATTGCTCTCACCTGTCCAGGGCTTTTAGGATTGTGCTTTTTCTAAGTGCAGTATTTGTTTTGTGCTTGGTTTCATTTCAATTGATCTCTTTGTTCCAAGGCTTCAGCAGCTTTTTGCCTTCCCCGTATTTGAGACTCTGTAAAATCCCCTAAGAATGTGTTTTGCACTGTAAGGGTTTTATTAAGTATCTTCAGTTCAGACTACAGTCTTCCAGTGTTGTATGTGACTTTCAGGCCCTGTTTCTGTTGATTCAAA